CGTCGGCTCATTTCACATTCCAGCAGATCGCGTGAACGGGGCGGGGGGGGGGCGGAGAGGGGACGGGGTCAAGTGTCAAGCGAGTGCCGAACCGTTTAGAGCGAATTCCCCGCCAAATTGGATCCCTACGGATTTCATAAACCGACTGAAAAGCGCGCGAGTCCGGCCCGTTCTTTCGTTCGCTTTTTCGCTTATTCGAGAGAAGAGTATCATCCCGACTGACCGCACTGCGCGTTCGGAAGAATAAAAAAATCCTCCGTCCTCTGGCGATGAAGCGACCGATCGGGCGTCGCCCGATTGTAGCCATTCAAGCGCGGATTTTTCATTGATTCTCGTAGACCGAGGCGAGTCGGTAGAATAGCGTCGGGCACCGTCCACGTAGATGGCACATGTCCATCTCTCTGTTTCAATTCCAAATCGCTGGAATCCCGTTGGACATAATTTTGGCTGAATGTCAGCGTCGCCGAATGCCGAGGGCTCACCATCACGAAGAAGGAAAAAAGATTGACGAGAGATTTAAACGTCGAACGGTACGAGGAGACAAATGTAAATTGTTGCATGGTCTGATTTTGACACACGATAATTACATCAAGATCGTGCGACTTACAATTATAATAGAATACGTACGCCTGTAACCTTACATCGTCGGATGTTGTGTTATGTAATAATTATGTTGTTGTAATTACCAACTATCGCAGTTTTGATAAACCGAACGAATTTAATAATCTTTCGCAGCTTTCGTAAGCTTGTCAATATTCGCTCTCGTTTTCGCTGCTCGTTTGTTTGCACAACTGCTATAGCCGATAACTTCGTCAATTATGCGGGTCTACGCTAATCTGCAGATTAAAAGGTATAAAGGAGGGATTCCAGCAAGTATCGATTCCTCACCGACGCGTGGAAAATTATACGCGACGTTAGACGTTGAGGAAATAAGGTCTACTTCCGAGGAAGGAGCTCGTGGAAGAAAGGATATAACGAGTGACTGTCGAAAGGGGACGGGGTGGTAAAAAGGGATGAGAGAACCGTAAGACGCGATTGCACAAAGGAATTCCGTGGTAATCCATTGGCGAAAGTCATGGTACGCCGTCTGACGAACGATTTTCAGGAGCCGCGCAAAAATTGCGTTCAGTCATGTAGCAGTCGTAATAGATTCGAACTAGATTTAATTCCCTCTTTCAATGTTCTCCCCTTTCTCTCCTTTCGCAACATCCTTTTCCACTAACACTCGGAAATACTTATTGAGATTTTTATCTTACATACATAAATCGATCTCCGATCGATTCAAATAACGGTAATAGATGGGATGATAATTATCGATAACGTTAACATTGTGGCATCGTTTTGTAATCGCTTAACATCTATTATTCGTAAAGAACATGTAGATTAAGATAACACCTTTAAGTAATATATAAAATGTAAGGATAACATATCAAAATCACGTATATATAAATAAAATATATAAATATATAAAAATATAAAAATATATAAATATATAAATAAAATAAAATGTTATAAGATATGTGAAATAAGACGAGACAAAAATACTTAATTACAATATTAAAACGCAAGGGTAATTAAATTGAGATAAAAGATTTTTAAAAGTTAGCAAAACTTTTTGATACACGATAATAAAAAAGTGATTTCTCATAATTGAAACAGTCAGAATTCAAACAGTACGAATATTCAAAATTGCATAGATTCTTTGCAGTACTTTGTAAAATTCATTGGGCCATTATAATGACATCAAGAAATGGGGACAATTAAACTGAGATCAAAAATTTCTGTAATTCAACCGAGTCTCATTGAAAAAAAACGTGATAAAAAAGCAATCTCTCGGAGAATTAACCGGTCGGCGGCTGACGGAGATTTCCGACCTAATCTTTAATTAAACTTATCTGGATTCCAATATCCGGAATATTAAAAGTTTGGCAGGAGTTGCGGTCGGCCGAGTGATGTGTGATTAAATATGGAGCTGATCCCGATAGACTCGTGCGGCTGAATTCATTTTTTCCCTTCGTCTTCATAATTCGACGGGCTGTCTTCGCCGGACAGTTGACAACAGCGTGATCGCGAGAGAGAGAGAGAGAGAGAGAGAGAGAGAGAGAGAGAGAAGA